CATTATAGATTTGGACACCAGAATCGCAGGTGACCTAAAGGAAGGAGCTGAATACTGCTGAACAAAAGGGTGAAGATTTTCCATGCTAAAGTCTTTCGAAGCACCTTACTTGTTAGATACAATAGCGCATTTTTCTTGGCTGTAGTGTAGCTGCGATTTTACCAGCATGATGATGAGCGACGGAAGCCCCTTACGCCAGTGAAACCTACTATGAGTGGAATTTAGGAGCTTTGCGGACGCATTCTTCACGTTCCCCGCATTTTTCGACTGCAAAAGAGTTCATTTTTATCGGAGAAATAAGTTCTAGTGATGATTAACCTGTCTCACATTCATTCTTGGTGTTTCTGTAAATGGCCATTCCATAGTGTTTCACGAGAAAAATGAAATCCGAAAAAGAGAAAATCATAACACAATCGACGGCGCAAGTTCACGGGGAAGAATTTGAAGGACTCTTCGTGCAAAACTAGTATCGCCGCATTAGACATGACCATTCTGCCTTGTCCTAGGAGAAAAGAGGAGTTCTGGGATGGGTAAACCAACTTCCACAACCTGAACGATTTCGCCACGATAATTCTGGTTTGGAACAAGCACTTATTTGAAGCCTCACCTCCTTAACGGGCCTGTCTCGTCGGGGACCCGGGCGATTCTATCATCGGCAAGACAGGTCACGTCGCGCACATTGCGTCGCGGCGTGATCATTTAACAATTTCAACGAGCACGACGCAGCAGGACTCGTACGCGGCGCCCACCAGCGCGGCGACCTACTTATCATCGACAACATCCCGTCTCATTGGAGCAAGTCCATACACATGGACAAGAACACCATACCACGAGCAGCTGTTGACCCCAGGCCATCCAGTTCGTAGAGGTGCATTCTATATCCCATACATTATACAGCATCGGGACAGGAGAAATGTCGATGTTAGACGACCCCACTCCTAATTCCTCACTTACCAAAAAAACGAAGTAATAGGTTGGAAATAAAGGTTTGTGTCTGTCAAGCTGTTGTGACATTTTTTCTTTTTGATTTTGCTAACCTCATACAATACGGTGGGAATTAGTCAGCAATGTACTCGTCATTGTCAGCCACTACAGTGCTCCACCTAATGGGCAGGTAACCATTCCTCCCTTTCCAACAAATGAGGAGGCTGTGGAGTAGAGTAAGTGCGCACCGCATCTCACAACTGATGTCATGCTGAAAGTTCTTAGCTAAGAAAGCCTTAAGGAGGCGGAGCAGGTAGCAGTCGTAGGCGGACTATGTCAGGAGAATGTGATGAGCGGGGATCTAGTCTTCCCAGCCTTGCTCCTCGATCATTTGGTAGGTCTATATTAGGTATGGGGTCTCGTGTACTACGAACGAGGTGTCCCGAAGCTAGTATCGGTCGTTTTTCTCCAACAGTTTCCACGGGTTTCTGGAGCTGAGCGACTCAATTAGTAGCGGTGACCGTATGTTCAGGGCAGCTCGTTGGTCAGCATTCCCCTCGCGTCCCAGGAGCAGCAGGAAAGCCTTCTCAAAACGCATGGTCGGTTTTGACTGCTAGGATTCGTCTTCTCCTCCAGTGAGACACACGGTACTTGTGGACTGTGATCACAAGAGGACCCATCTCTCATGTCCGCAGAGCAGTCTCCTAGAACTCCTTCGACCAGAGGGCGGAGAGGGGAGACTTGACCAAAAGGGTAGACCGGTCACAACGTGGCCACGTAGTCAAGTCAATGGTGATTCCATCGAGGCCAGTACTTTTCGGTAGTCAGGGGCTTACAGGCGGCTGACGACTATCAGTTAGGTACACCCGAGTCTTGTTGCAAGACTGCGGGTGGTATCCGGATCCTACTTGACTGCTTCGAGAATTGTGGATTCTTCCACTCCGTGGGACCGTCCCAACAAAGCTTTGTCTTCAAGGATCGTGTCTCCTCTCACCAAGCGAGCGAACCAAAGATTTACAGTTATGATGGTAGTGGTGCCCATCCACCGCCAATGTACCGTTTGTTGCGGATAGCTGCCGTGGCTCCAGTGCTGCGGGACCACATTAGAAGAAGATGACCCGAAGATGCTCCTGTGAAATTGTCATCCTAATCAACCCTAGGGAAGAGCAGACGCCCCTCGCACACCTCTTGCAGGAAAGCTTCTACAGAATATTGAATAGAAATAGAGTAGAATATTCTACAAGAATAGCATGTTAGCATGTTCGGGCATCGAAAATCAAAAACTGTAAGCTTTTCAAAGAAACCCTGACAGAACTTTCTTTCCAGCCTAATAGAAGTTGTATAGAGACTTTGAGATCTAGACGTGCCACTAACTATAACCACATGAAACGGGAAATGCGAAAAGTCAACAACACAAAAACTTTCTTCGAGGTTAGGAAAAAAAAACTCTTAAAACCAGATACGATCCTGCAGACCAAATGCGACCTCCCTTCTGTAGTGACCAAGTGCGACTCCGTGGTGGGATTCTCTTGTCGATGGTCCCATCAAGATGAGAACGCAGTCATCCTGATCCAGAGATGACTGCTGTTTTATTTGAACATGATTCCTCATTTCCGGGATGGGAATCACCCAAGCATCTGCGTAGCCTGTATGATCACTAGGATTTTACTGGGATTTTTATTTCAACCAGCCAACCGCTCGCATTTGAGCGAATGACGTGGTAGTCTGTCCTGTTTGAGCTGAGGTATAGCCATTAACTAAGGCAGGGTTCATACTTCGCGACATCAGCGACGATCGCCGCGATCGTCGGTACGCGACAGAGCGCGCCCCAACGCTATTACTTGGACCGCTCGCTTGATAAACTAAGGAAATCCAACTTGTGAGACTTTTTCTCTTAATAATGGCTACTAACTGAAAACTTACGACTTTTTGTACTTGAGAGGACCTGGATATGAGAATATGAGGGAAGGGGGGAGTTTTCACTTTTTTTAGGTTTAGATAAGGGCAATTATTTCTGGGTGAGCTTCTTTTGTTTCTTTTGTTTTCATTGTTCAAATTTATATAAGTGTTTCAAATTTCCCTATTGGCTAAACTGTTCCAACTTCCAAAAAAACTCTGCTAAGAAATCGAAACACTAATTCTTTCATGCAAACATCAAGGAGTAGGAAACTTCATAACTTCTAGGCTGGAAGAATGAAAAAAAAAAACATGAAGAAAATTACCCTGAATGGAGTTCTCATCCCTTTTGCTCATTTCTATCCTGAATCAAAAAAGAAAATAGAAAAGGAAAGCCGTCGATTTTGGTCCACATTTCCTTGAGTCAAAACAAGCTTTCGTACCACAGACAATTGCAGTTGAAAGAAAAAAACGAAATTAAGCCGATTCTTCCTAGAAGCACTTGCAGCGGTCCACGTATATAGCGTTGGGACGCGCTCTGTCGCATACCGACGATCGCCGCGATCCGCTGCTGTCGCAAAGTATGAACGCTGTTTTAATGTTCCACCTCCACCGCTGCAAACTGATTCCGCCGCGGCAATCTACTTTGGTCATAGGGTCCTATCGTGGCAGCCAAGATCGTACTTCAAGAAGAAATGGAGCCTCGCAGTGCTTCTTCTTTCAATCAGCTCAGTATTTTATCTTCTTCCCAAGCTAACCTAGGAATCGCCGAACTTGTTATCTACCGTGAAATATTCCGAAATATTCCGCAAGGGTGAGTGTGCTGAATGGCCGTAAAAATCATGCATAGAGACTTGATAAGCGATTGTCGGTTCATTTAAAGACACATGGTACGCTCAAACACATTGAGGGTGTATGAGACTATCAGCCCCCAGCTGTCGATGTGTCGTGGTCCCCCGCCCAAAACTGCACGGGGTCAGAGTACGGGGCCGTGGGAAAGTCGTAATTCCTTGCTACACCGCCCATTTCGCAAACTCACGTTTATGCTAACACCGTCCGCGCGGCGCGTGTCGCGTGCAGCTCTCTTGGCTTTTTGCCAAGTCCTGTAATTGCGCTTTGGAATACAAGTACAACGCAATTTCTTTATGCGGATAACATTTTAGGTGCTGCAAAATAAGAACCGAAGATGATGACAAGGGCTAGAACTCAAGAGCAACTGTGCTGCTTCTGATCCCTCAGAGGCCGCAAAACGCAATTTCCTAACATTTGAGGTATTGCTCATGCTTCAAAGTCCGAATAGAAGGTGATGAAGATGACAAAGGCTAGAAATGAACAACAACGAATGTAGATGTAAATAAAACAAAATTGAAAAAAAAAACTAAGGAAACGCAATAAATCTGTGCATTTCTGCGATCCGGCTCGAATCCGGCTCTAAAGCTATAGAAATACTTCAAACTAACGAGTGGGCCGTTTTTATTTTCATGTTTGTGGAAATGCGCGGCCTCCGAGGGATGTTGCAGAAGCAGCACAGTTGCTCTTGAGTTCTAGCCCTCGTCATCATCTTCGGTTCTTATTTTGCAGCACCTAAAATGTTATCCGCATCAGAAATTGCGTTTACTTGTATTCCAAAGCGCAATTACAGGACTTGGCAAAAAGCCAAGAGAGCTGCACGCGACCGCGCCGCGCGGACGGTGTTAGCATAAACGTGAGTTTGCGAAATGGGCGGTGTAGCAAGGAATTACGACTTTCCCACGGCCCCGTACTCTGACCCCGTGCAGTTTTGGGCGGGGGACCACGACACATCGACAGCTGGGGGGCTGATAGTCTCATACACCCTCAATGTGTTTGAGCGTACCATGTGTCTTTAAGGTGCGCCACACATCAGAGTTTGGCCGAGAAATGTAAAGGCGCTTGCCGTCCCCGGAACCGTCTTCGCAATTAAATTACGAACTTTAACTTTTGATTTTCTCCTGATACAGTACAAGTACGAATCGCTTCCTAATGAATGATGAACATCACCTTTCATAAAGTGTAAAAGGCGTTCTCAATGAGGAGAAGGGCACTGTTCCATAATCGGAACAATTAGGTGGAAAAGGGGAACGCAGTTCACGTGATGCCTATTTGTCAGCTAATATTGATGTCTTAATACACTCTTTTCAGCGCTCTTTTTCCTGAATGCCATGGCATCACCATTGCGAGGATGCGAGAAAAACAGTACACGTGAGTAAATAGCCTTTGTCACTTTTCTGCGAGAGACCTTTAGGGGAACCGACTGCCAATTTTTTTCCTGCATTACGGTATTCAGAGTAGTTGTTGTCATATGACGTTTGATTCTTTTGTACTCGCCGTACTGTTGTGCC